CCCCCCCCTCTTGTGGCGCAACCCCCAATCCCACAACCTGCGCAGCCCCATTCTCCTACGTGTTAGCTTCTGCAGGTGACAGGTGGATGTAATTAAATTTGAAATAACCCATAGCAGACTTGCTATTGAAACCCCTCCCACTGAGCAGAGGAGCGGACCTGAGAGGGAAAGTTGTCTTTCAGTTCCGCTCCTCTGCTCGGTGGGCAGGTGCAATAGCCAGCCTGCTATTGGCTTTTGCAATTTGAAATAGATGGGGGGCGCCGTGGTCAAGGCTGCGCCCTAGGTAGCTGTGCACCCTAGGCGGCTGCCTAGTTTGCCTAGTGGCAGCACCGGCCCTGTCTGTGTGTTTTGGCAGTGGATGAGGGTAGTAGGGGAGCATGGTAAAGGCTTAGGGCATCATTACGGCTTAGGGTCCCTCACAGTAACATGAACCTGCCAATTTAAACCACATAGGGAAAACAAAGGCTTAGTTAAAATTACGGAGGAACAGCCCCACTGGAGTGTGTTATTTTTTTATTCCTATAATCTGAAATTTGGAGATGAAAATGGGTAATTATTTTGCAACCTTACACCTGCAATATATATTTTAGAATCCCTAATACTGGCACCAGTATGCCGACATGTGTGCACTCTGAGCCATGCAATCACTAAGCACAGGAATTTACAGTCAGGAACATTTATGACGACATTTCCTTACGAGGAATAACAGTTCTCTGTTGGTTATATTTTTTTACAGATCATTGCAAGGTCTCTTTTCCCCTTTCATAAATGACCCCTCTAATAACAAAGTCATGAGCAGGAAAGTGAAGATTGGATTCAATTTGTCAGTTAACCACTTCATGTCTGTCAGCTTTACCCCCCTGTGTGACCAAAGCCATTTCCATGTTTTGGAAACAAAACAGTTTAGAACCTTTTTCTTTATTTTTTTAGGTCTACCTCTACTGGTACCATACACCAGTAGACATTTAAAAGATGTATGAGGAACTCTTGGAACAGTTTTGGTTTCTGCTGTCTCTTTATTACTGACAAACAAATTTGACAGTAGGAACATCTAGGAGAAATACAGAAAAAGATAATATGTAAAGAGCTTGTTTACTATGATCTTTTTGGCATCCACAGTAATATTATACAGATGACTATGGGGATTGACTGTGGGGCTATATTTGGTTAGTAAGATTATGATGCCTAGCCGGGTGCACACTTGTAAACATGAACATACAAAATATGAAATGACTTACTTCTGTGACATGATAAAGGCATGGGATTATTCATTAAATTGTCCTACTGTGGGCTTTCATTAGGTAGTCAAATTTATAAACCCGAAAATCTTCTTTTGTTTCTACAAATTTGGAGAAAAAGCAGATCTTCCAATGATTGTTTCTTCTCACTAGAGCCCTTGGTCATGGCGCCTTTGGAGAGGTCTATGAAGGCCTGGTGGTTGGTATTTCTGGAGACCCCAATCCTCTGCAAGTAGCCATTAAGGTTAGTACATAGAGGTAGAAGGGATGTATGTGAAACATAAGTAAGAGCTCCATGGATCATCTACTTCTTTCTTTGGCTGCAAGAAAGACTGAAGAAAATAATTAGTTCAGTCAGTCAAGGTCTTTCTGAAGTTGTTCTACTCTGTAACAGTTGTTAAAAAGATATCACTTACTCTTATCGCAGAGTTATAAAACACATAGTGGATCAAGCACTACCAAGTAATAGGAGGCAGTGGTAGTATAGTTTTAGTATTTCCACAGTTTTACATTATGCTCAGAAGCATGCAGGTGATTTTGCCTAGAGTGATTATTGCCGATTATTACTCCCTTAAAAAGGAACTGAACTCTGCAAGTTGTGCCCTAAAAAGGCAGGCAGAGGGCAAAGATCTAATCACCAGAATTAACTTTGGTCTACCCGAAGCTGATCTTTCCACATTACTAACTTACCATGCCTTGTTCTGCTCTGTGTCTCTGTGTAGAAGTGACCATTTTTGCTTCCATGTCAGAGCATCCAGCATCTCACACTGCAGATATACAGCTATGAAGCTAAAGGCACAGAAGTGCATAGGCACACTCGCATATCAGGAAGTGCTCTGCTATTTTAGGATACTGCTTTAATTAACATTTCTAGATGTTTCCTATAACATAGAAAATATTCACTTTTTGAGTGAATTTCCACTTTAATCACTAGTGAGCGTTGCACACAGGGAACAATGAAGTGTAGCATGTACTAGCAAAAATTCACTAATGCTAGCACAATGCTCCAAACTTGTGCTTTCCATTGCTACTACATCCAACTGTAAGTACAGAAAGTAGTGCAATTGGGCTATCAAATATTGCCTGTGCATGCTTAGCCTTAAGTGCAATTGTGACAATGCTTAAAGTGGAATACTACCTTTTACACTGTAAAACAGGGCACTTCCCTCTGCCTCCCACAAAATGCCTGGCACCTAAAGAGCAAGGGAAAGAGGTGTACTAAGCCCTATGCACGTATAGACTTTCAATAAGCTGATATTTCTATTGGAGTCTCATGGGTCTTTCAATTTTGTGTGCTTGCTATGTGGCATTACTTCAGCCACATTACATATAATTATACTTATTTACAGAATGAGTTGTAAAGTTACAGCTGTACTGAACTGCTGTATTCATGCTACATCCAGCCCAGTTCTCCTAATGTCACTGGATGGGAAGATCACACAGGGAGAAACCAAATAACAAAGACAGGCTGGACAGCTCCATAGCCATTGGTGACCTTTTTGCATCATGTGGCACTCAGCTCTATTTCTGTTTAACTGCTTCCATGTGATACTTAACTTGCCTGTATAGAACAAATTACAGAGTACATTACAGCGGAGGTCAAATGAACTGGCATTTCTAACTGTTATCTCTGTTGTGCACATAATTCTGTAATGACCATCAGATCTGGTTTCCTAATGACTGCTATACTGAAAAACAAATTGGGTAGGAAATTAACTTGTTAGATGTGTAACACTTTGTAAGCATGTGACTTCCAGTCTCCACACCCTAAAGTATATGGCTGATTATAACAACAAAGCATAGTCCTTCAGTATTTAGGAGCACAGAAGCTCTTTCATGCATTATACACCATTGCATGTCAGAAGAGACTGTTATGGGCAATACTGAATGGCACAATGAACAGTAGCAACAGAATGTAGCAGTTGATACCTAGTAGAGTTGAGAACCGAGGCAATCTTGTCATCAAGGTGCCCAAGATATACAATATATGAAGCGTGTGAGTGACTCAAGATGCACAATCCATGTAAAACTGAAATATAAGCTCAGTTGAAGGCTCACATTGTTTACTTCTAATGCAGTCTAGCTGCAACAAGTAAAGAATATGACTTTATTTTTTTTCATTATGTGTTTGTATTTAGCACAAGAGGAAGCTGCCTTGTACCACCCGCACCCTGGTGAGCTGGACAACTGCTCTCACACAGAGCACAGCAGTCTGACACACCCCCTGCACAATACTCCAATCAGCAATGATCATGTTCCCTGAGCAGCATTGTTGATTGGAGTACTGTGCAGGGGGCGTGTTGGGCTGCGGGAGACTCGGGCCTCTCCTCTCTGTGTGAGACCAGTGGTCTGGCTCTCCAGCGTGCTGCCATCACAGGGCTGCATCCTACTATATTAAACACAAACAATTAAAGAAATTGTTTGTGTTATATACATAGTATTTACTCATTGCAGCTGGAATACATAACAAATAAAAATGTAAGACTTAATTTTGGCTTTAAAGGATTAATCCAGCCAGTTTTCAATAAATCAGGGAGTGTCTGTTGAAGAGCTTTCCCCCCTTCTAATTGCTTACTACCCACTTGTCACTGTAACATAATGTAGAAGCACAAACTACTGTAGTATAGTGGTGGAAGGGATAAAAGGCCCACATTGTTATTTCTGTCTGTGTCTCCCCTGAGATGTTCCTTCACTTTCTGCTCTGGTAATACCCTGTATGTCAAGGTGTAACAGGGTGTCATTAGGAAAATTACAATTTATTACAATCTGATTGTGCAATCTCCAACAACTATGTAGTACAAGGGCCTGCCTGACTGAATACAAATTGATTGAATAGTTTCATACGTAGTTTTGGTAAAGCTAAAGCTTATTGTGCAAAGATTACACAGTCATGTTGTAATGTGTATGGAGTGGTGGTGGGGATTCTAAAGTACAGTAGACATAATAAGAAAGTCATTCTAAATGATCTGTGTGGGATTAAGCTTTTGACAGTATAGTGATATACACAGTGATAGACCTTAAAAGCCACAATCTGCATATCATGGTTTTACATTTTCTCCAACTTTGTCTTTTACAGACACTCCCAGAAATCTGCTCTGAGCAGGATGAAATGGACTTCCTAATGGAAGCGCTTATTATCAGGTAACACTGTTATTGCATGTGCACATTACATGTACATTGTATTATACTCTATACATAGACATGTAACCCCTCAAAAAATTGGTTTAGTTTAATTTCGTATCGATTTGGATCGATATTTTTTTCGATTTCGGATCTGAAATTTGATTCAGTTCAATGTTCGTTATTTCGATTTCGGATCCATTCGAATTTTCGTTTTTTGGTTCGGATCGATCTATATTTGTAGTTTTTTATTTCCGATCTATTCGGATGGTGTTCTTTAATTAAAAATCAACTTAAACTATAATTAAACTCTTGTTTTTTTGGGCATATATCTTATATTTACTGCTAGCAAGCAGTAGAGATATGCAAAAACATTTAAAAAATGTAAAAGGTTACCAAAAAAGGTAATTATTTACCTCTGTCACTGCCACTCGCTCCCATTCAAAAATCTGAAGACTCTCAAGCGGCCAAGCAGGATGATTGGGCGAGCGCATGCGCAGTACAGATCTTTGGCGGGAGAAGAGGAGACACAGCGGAGCTGAATGCATGCAGCCGGTGCATGGAGACACCGTGGGACAGGAATAGACAGGAGTATGCGATGGATCAGAGACCGGCACCAGCGCTGGAGGGATTGCTGAATACATGTGGAAGGAAGAAGATGATCGGATCATGAGGCATCATTTAAGGTAAGTCCTTAAAGCAGCATGGGGGGGGGGAATATTTGTGACTTTAATGTCACTTTAATTATTTTTTTGGGGTTCTTTTGATCATTTTAGTTCTGCACTGTTCATCTTAGTCCATACTAGTCTTCTTAGTCCATACTGGTCACTTCAGTCCGTAGTGGTCTTTTTAGTCCATATCGGTCACTTTAGTCTCGACTAGTCATCTTACTCCATACTGGTCATTTTAGTCCGTAGTAGTCATTAGACATGTAACCCTCAAAAAACTTGTTTCGTTTCATTTGAATTCTATTTTTTTTTCTTTATTCCTTTTGTGGGGTGTGTAATGTTTTTGGTTTGGAACCATTGGACATTAACATAACATAACCTAAAATAACATAACAAAAGAACTTTGCATCAATCGTTATGTTATTTAGATTCTGACTTTTTTACATTAGCTTTTACAATTTGTTTAGTGAAATTCTAGAACAGAAAATCTGATTAACTGAAGAGTGTTTGTCAATTTTTGTGTCTAACATTCTTGAAAATGTTTGTGAACAGTCACTTGTGCGATTTAGTTTCCTTTGGAACAAAATTCAGCCGAAATTCAGAATGAAAATTCGGATGCGTTTGAATTTGGAAGTTCAGATGGATCATAATTTCAGAATTTAATGAAATTCGTCCAAATTTTCATTCGGAAGGAAATTAAATTTACATGTCTACTATACGCTACGCTACACTGCACTAACGGTGAATTCGTATTGCCCTCTTGTGTCTAAATTGTGAAGTACATGCACCTTTCACTGCTATGGACAAACCTCAAACTATACACTCAGTGGCATGCACAAAGCACAGTGATCTGTAGAGCCACAAAACAATCATTTTTTGCTGAATGTATTGCTATAAATGTAAGAAAGCTGTCTCCTCTGGATTATTGCACTTTGTGTATTACTAAATGGGATGTTTGCTTATGAAAGGTTAAAGTAACTAAACTAGAAGTGATGTATAGGGAAAATTAATGAACCCTGCTGAATCACACTGTCAAGCTTTTATCATGTTAATTAGCTTAAAATTTCACTTAATGAACATATTATAAGTTGTACTTTATACGTAGGTCTGCATTTATATAGTACACAAATATATAGTGGAAACACTATATATACATATAATACATATATATTATTATGAATAACCAACATGTGGAACATTAAGATTTTTTTGTGTCAAGGTTAACTAGAGTTCATGTAGAACACTTAGGTCTAATGGGTTGAGGTAAAAAGAGATTAAACATAAAATCATAAAACATGTTTCTTGACCTGGGTTTAATGAACAGCTCTCCTCTAATCTTAATATGAGGAACCTTGGTTTAATGAGCAATAGGTTCAAATCCAAGAGACAGCTGCCCTCTAAACTTTATATAAGGGAGTCTAATCCAGACAAAAAAACCCATCTAATGACCCTGGCCCAATTAAATATGAGTACAGGGGTCATTATTATCTGATTTTTGGAGATAATTCAATGTAACACAAATGGTTCTACTGTTCAAAACCCTATAAAAGGGGCCTGCGAGCCCATATTATTTGAACGTGCCTGAGTTGCTGCATGTTCCCGGCTGGCCAGCTGAATACATTTACTTTCTGAAGCTAGCCCGCTTGAGTGGTTGCTTTTCAATTTAATACTTGGGGAGGTTTCCCCCTTCACAGTGGAACCCTCCAGGGACATCATCACTTACCCACCACTTGTACCATCTAATTGATGGCATTTTACACAACTGTTTCATGCCTATGCAGAGCAAATCTCATTCCTGTATCAAGTGACCACATCATATTTTCCCAGCTAGAGCCATCCTTCTTCTTAAGCTGCATCTTTTAAATATGAAGCAGGACGTCTAGACCATGTGACCTTCATTTAAAAGACAATTAGGGAATTTTTGCAATTCATTTTTTTAACCTTAAGAGTTTTAAACTAATTTTTACTCAAGTATGACTTTATTTTGGAATTCAACTTTACATAGATGAAGACAGAAATTGCTTTGTTGGGTTCTTGCTCTCTATGGTATGCTTGGAATCCATTCACCTTCTACCCAACAGACCCAACAGAACGTAATACCGGCATAGCAACTTTGTACACAACACCATATAGTGTTCATGTTCATTTTACCACCAGACACAAGTGAATATGCTGCTATTTTCTTTTATAGTACATTTGTATTACATTTTCATTGTCTATTAATCCTGTTATTCATTCCCTGTGTACAGTAAATTCAACCACCAGAACATAGTACGCTGTATAGGAGTCAGTCTACAGACCCTTCCCCGCTTTATCCTGCTGGAGCTTATGTCTGGTGGGGACATGAAAACCTTCCTGCGGCAAAATCGCCCATGGGTGGTGAGTAAATATCAATAGAGCTTTATGGTTGTTGAAAGGTGAAGAATACATGTAGTTTGAGCCATGTTTATTATGTATGCAATAGTATAATTATAGTGATAGTGATCCACTGAGGCCCATGGACTAAGGGGTCATGTCAGTGACTTTCCACCAAGATCCCCCTTTTAATCACAGTCAGGCAGGACATTAAGAAGTACAGAAAATGATTCAGTCAAAGATATACATATCGTGGACCCTCAAATGTCACTTACGTAGCTCTCCTGTATGCCACTAAGGATTCTAGAAGTCAATAGTTTCCTACAGCTGGACATTGCTTCCACTCCACTACTTGCGAATAGTCATTCCCAGAGCACTGCATTGTGGGAGAGCTGATATAGCATGCAAATATAAACCATTCCTGGAAGTTCCAGGGATTTTGGTGGGTTTGCACTTTAAGTGGAGGCAGTGGACAAAAACATTACCTTTTAACTACAGAGGCAACAATCAGCACAGCCCATAGGGTAATGCAACAGAGTGAAAGCCCACAATTTTGTCCATAAATACACATGGCATTCAGTGATGGCAGCAAGAGTTGTTTTATTCACTTTTAAGTTGGCTATACATTGTGCAGTTTTTCATGGGTGGGGGAATCCCCTCCATCCTTCCAGCTATAGTATTCTGGCAGCAGCGGATCAGAATACCCAAACTGTGACTGCAGTTGACCAGTTTCTTCGACAAAAGTCAATTGAAAATCAATTTTTGTCGAATGAAGAGGTACCAAGTGGGCCACACACTGCTCGAATTTGCTGACTTGACTGAAATTTAAACAGCATATAGCCAAAATTTAAACAGTGTATCGTCCTAATACAAATAGTGTATAGCCATCTTTTGTCTAGCTCTGTCCATGTTTGATAGGCCTATGTTAGTCCATGTTTGTGCAATTTCAGGTTTATTTGTCCAATAAAACAAAGGGCAATGTTAAAGTAAAATAAAGCCTCATTAACAAATCAAAATCAACTTTTGCCTTTGCTTAGGACCAACCATCAAAGTTAACAATGTCAGACCTGCTCAACATGGCCAGAGATATCGCCTGTGGCTGCAAGTACCTGGAGGAGAACCACTTCATACACAGGTATATCCTGGAGAGACCTAAAATCTGCACTAAGAAACTAGTGTAAACCACAAAAAATGCAAATGTTAAAAGTAAAAAAAACAAAAACAAATCCACTGTATTGTATAGTGTAATTGGATTCTTAGAAGAGAGGGATGGATTGCCCTTCAGTACTTCACATGCTAAGGACCAGGTGTGTCATCATCTTAGTACTAAAACAGCCACCAATCAGATACAAATTTCCAGGACATGTTTAAATTTGATTGGTCGCTCCAAAGATATGATGGTAGGCTCCTGTCTAAAGTGGCCCTAGTATCTGTATACAGCGGTGTATTTACCTTTGCTGCTGCCCTAGGCAAGGCAGCAACGCCGCCCTCCCCCCCC